GGTGGCACAGAGCGTCGCCCTCTTGATGGATCGCAACGGCTTCCGGCGTCGAAGCGGTCCCGGTTTCCTCCTTCCCGATCCTCCCACCGAGCGGCCACGAGTATCGATCGAGCGAGTCGACCTGCAGCTGGGACACGCTGTATCCGCGTGTTTGCTGCCACATAAAAGCACTTGTCTGTATATATATATATTTCTCGGTAAAACCTTTTTTCCCAGAGTGGAGCGTCTTGTAGGAAGTAAGAAGATTAGTTTCTGATGGAGGAGCAAACAGAATCACGTGGGGTTCACCGCGCAGCGCCAAGTTGATTGTCCGGCGATCTTTACAGTGGATTGAGTAGGGGCGGGGGCGCCGTACGAGGCTGAGGGTCACGCTTCTTCTCAGGCACTCCCGGCTGCACGTCAGGTTTTGCTGCAGAGTGTATCGACGCGAATTGGATGCACCAAGCTGACAGTCGCTCAGCTGGTCGTAAAATTCGCCGCCTGTCTCGGTGTCGGGAGCCCGCTTTTGCGCCTGTATCCAGGAAGGAGAGCCACGGTGGTCTAGCGGTTAGAACGCTGGCCTTGTAATCCTGGGGTCTCGGGTTCGAATTTATAACTTGTGTTGGGCAAGGCCGTGGTCTAGGCAACACGGAGTTTTTCTCCGTGGCATCCCAACAATTACTCCATTCACACACAGAAGAAGGCAATGGCAAACCACTTCTGGATCATCTGCTAAGAACGTATATGAACAGGTCCCAGTCCGAGAAAAGGATGGAAGGATCCTGTTCATATGGACCTGTCGTCAGACAGAACACTAAATAAAAAAAAAAATAAACCCAGGAAGTCGAATCGGCCACTACCAGTTCCATTATTAAGGCGAACACGGGACTTCCGACCAAAATGTTGCGTACGTTTAGCATTTCCCCGTGCGTTCTACGTATCCTGCGTACCTAATCCTCCTCAGGTCCAGATATTCTTCTCAGCGCCGTGTTCCCAAACGCCATCAACGCGTTCTTCTCAAAATTTGAGAGGCCAAGTTTTACGTCCAAACAGAACAGCAAGTTTTTAGTTTAGGAGACGAGAAGACAGTTTTGATTTTCTGTGCTCTGATGACGAAATGCTCCTCCCTCTAAACCAACATTCTCATGGCGCTTCTGATGTGCGATCTGCGTCCTAAGGGCGTAGGGCCATACGGGAATTCGGCGAGAGAGCTCCACGCCTTCTCAATGGAGACGGGAGGTTCCAGTAGGCCGTGTAAAATAGGCTAATTTAAGTGAGTTGTCCTTTCTCGAAGCCTCGTACGCCAGAAAGATGTTTTAGTGTTGCACGCAATTCCCGCCAGAGCGCCGCATGCCGGGAATTCTGCAATCTCAATTTGGCT